TATACCCTAGGTTTGAAGACCAGGATGGTGTGGCCGTTTGTATAGTCGCGGTCTCCTTTCGTTGTATAGAAGTTGTTTGACCTTGTCTTCACAACTGGTCATATTAGCAGGAAGACCTAGAGGAACTCATCTTGTCCAGAGTCCATAGTATGCATGACAACTTCCAGTCGGGCTGTGGACGTGGTACATTCCCACACGTTTCGCCGGCATCGAAGTCGGCAACGTCAGTGAGCTTGCCACTCTTAGCACCAGAATACAACTCGTCAAAGAAGCAAGTTACGTCAATCCTTTGACCAGCCACCGAAGAAGACAATTCTAAGTCAATCATGCCATTTGACCTTTTTACACTGTTGTAAACGTTTGGTATCACTCCTGAATTTTGTGACTTTAAAAGTCACTTCCATTCAGATAAGGTTAATGAGATTCTTCACCAGGCCTCCTTGTATAAGTTAAATGAAACCTATGATATGGAAAGGAATAAACTTTGTAATCAAAGGTATGTGGACCAAGATGGTGTGGCCTTTTGTGTGGTAGTAGTCTCCTTTCGTTGCATAGATGTTGTTTGACCTTGTTTTCGCAACTTGGTCATATTGGTAGGACGACTTAGATGAACGCACCTAGTGCGGAGTCCATTGTATGCATAATCATTTCCAAAGTCGGACCGTGGACGTGGTACATTCCCAGACGTTCACGGTCCGACTTTGGAAATGATTATGCATACAATGGACTCCGGACTAAGTGCGTTCATCTAAGTCGTCCTACCAATATGACCAAGTTGTGAAAAAAAGTCAAACAAATTCTATAAACTATGTAAGTTTATAGATATTAAGTAAAAGTCCCGGTGTTATCTGGTCAGGATTCTGACGCAGGAGGATTTTCACTAACTTAAGAGTATGGCCGACGAAAAATCGAGTAGGATCCTTGACTAACTAACAAAAAAACACGACAATAAATTGCTTAGGTATGAAATTATATGACAACTTAGGTTAAAGCCAGCTCGCCCAATTGAAGGGGTTTCCAGGCCGACGACACTTAATGATCAGTACGACGACTGTAACCAGCTGGTGAAATTATCCTTACTTCCCGCTTGATCCTGAAACCACCACGATTCTATAGAAAGGACTAAATTTTTCTCTTCAAGATTGAAGAAATCTTCTAAAAGATATTCTGATGGAGGAGACAAAACGGGAAATAGAGATAAAAATAATCTTTAGAATCTTGACACATTATGAACCAACGCACATGAACAGATTTGCAAGGATGCGAATAACCCTAGAAAGGTATAAACAATTTTTCCTTCAGGCGGACCAAAGGGGAATAGAGAAATGAAAGAGAAATCAACACTTTTCACGCGTCTACTGACGCAACATAAAAGGGTAGACAAATTGGATTGTTCAGGAGTATACTGTATATCATGCAGCGCCTGCGAACATAAATATATATTGAAGTTATTTGACCTTGTTTTCGCAACTTGGTCATAATGGTAGGAAGACTGATAGAAACGCACC